TGCATTTGTTTGCAATTGTTGTAGATAGCAAGAGTCGCCACCAACTTTTCTTTTATCCAATAAGGAAAGGTTGAAAAGAACAGGAAAGACCTTTCGAGATTATTTTCTTGAGTTCAAGGGGTAGGTTATGAAAAGGGAAGGTATTAACACCCTTTCAATTCGTAGTTATCTACGGGCTCTTAGTTGCTTGCTAGATCAGTTGCTTTATTTGAAAATGTGCTTGTGGTGTGGGTTTTGAAAATATTTTAAAAACGTCTCTGTAATGATTCCCGTTTCTATAAGAACGCGTACAAAGTGTTGGTTTTGATAATAGTTCAAGGAAGTGGTCGTGGAATGTGTTTTTGAAAGTGATTTTTAAAAGTGTCTTTGTAATGATTCTCGTTTCTATAAGAACACGTACAAAGAGATTTGTCTTTTGAAAATGTTTCAAATGAAAGTGTTAGTATATAAAATGTTATTGTTGTGAGTAAGCGAGCAACTATGAGCGTCCTACCTACTTAAAAGGTCTAATATTCTTTCCCTTCTCCTTTAGATGTTGCTATCTTACCATTGATTTGGTAAAAATCCCCATCGTTGGATGTGAAGGGACGAACGTGGGTCGTTTGAATAGTCATAGAAGGCAACCTATGGGATGTTTTAGCAAAGTCGTTTAGGGACTAGATTGTTTATCGAATGCAACATCAAGGGTCATCGAGGGACTAAAATATTTTATCGAGGGTCTTTGCTAAAACTCCCATATTCGAGGGACATGACTATTTTCTGACGCAACAAGTGAGATTATCCTAGAGGTGCATTTGTGAATAGTGTGTTTGATTTCATGCATTTTGTCTTTGATTTTTAGGTTGTCTACTTGTTTATTTTATCTTACCATACATCCTAATTACTATCATTTGTACAAAAGCAATAAAAATGCAGAAAATAAATCCTACACTATTACAACCATATTGAATAGAAAGAGAATGTAAAGACAAAACAAAATAAAGGAGGAAAAATGAATGCTTTGATTTGGGCAACATAACCCTTCAATTATGCTTCCCCGGCTCCCTTCGATTTGGCCTGGAAGTAGTGAGGACATATCTTTCGATTTCACCCCTTTCCTGTTTATGAGACCTAGAAGTCAGTGTGGCCATCCTTCTGGCTGCTTCTTTCGTTTTAGGCCTGGCAGTCAATATGGACAATCTTCTGGCTACTTCTTTCGATTGAGCTTAGTAGTTAGCGTGAGAGGCAGCCTTTGATTCTTCTATTTGGTCGCTGATTTCGACTGGGCCACGGAATCAGTGTGAACACCTTTCATTTCTCCCTTCTTTCTCTTTTGTTTGGACTGTGAAGCAGTAATGGGGGTGAAGCCTGAGGATTATTTTCACACCAAAACTCCTTCTTTCGTTTGGGCCTATACTGGTTAGTTCTACCATATATTTGACAACAAAACAAACTAAAAGGGCAGAAATGAAAAGTAAACAAATGTCATGTACATGCTTGAAACGAAAGGAATGACTATTCACATGTTATGCTAGAAACGAAAGGTTCAAGGTTTAGAGAAACTTACCTTGCTTGAAGCTGGAACATGTGTGTTGCACCAGCGACAACATCGATAGACATCTTTGTGTTTTAATGGAGTCCATTATAGAAGGTGTGGATGATTAGCCATTGTTCTAGGCCATGGTGTGGATAGGCTCTTAACAGGTCCTTATATCTCTCCCATGCTTCAAAAAGTGATTCTCCCAGGTTTTGGTTAAGTATACTGATTTGGTTTCTAAGGACAACAGTTTTGTTGGGCGGAAAATATCTTACGATAAATACTCTTCTAAGGTCTTCCCAGGTTGTTATTGAATTGGGTGGAAGGGAATCCAACCAATCTCGTGCTTTATCTCTGAGGTAAAAAGGGAATAATCTTAGTCGTATTGCCTCAGGCGAAGCACCATTGCATTTTAAAGTGTCTGCTAATTGTATAAAAGTTTTTAAGTGTTGATTCAGGTTCTTAGTAGCGAGACCACCAAATTGGTTTTGTTGCACCAATTGTAGAAATGAGGGTTTTAGTTCGATATTTTTTGTGGTTATAGCTGGATTTACGATACTTGAACTAGGTTCCTCATCTTCCGGTTGGGAAAATTCCTTAAGGGGTCTTTGGTTACGATTCTCGGCCATAGTTTTTTTAATTCTATAGAGAAGATGGATGTAACGTTCAGGTTCTGCTAAAGGATTGAATAAGGTTCCGGTACTGCGAGATCTTCGCATTAACCGGACTATAAAACTTAGTCTAGACGGTGTGACTATAGGGTTCAAAATTTGACGAAATTGATCCTCGGTAATGGCGCCAAAAACTTGATGCGGTGTATTCGCAAGTGTACGAATCGCTTCAGAGTAATATAAAATATTATCAATCCACAGAGACCAATCGTCAATCTATCGTTTCCTATTGTTACGGTGTTTAGATAAGTCAATATTGTTGCACCTCAAAATTTGCCCTCCTAATTGCACTTTTATGCTGGCTTAGACTTTTGCGTTCATCTGCATCATTCCAATGGGTCATGTGCATAGCACGCATTTTCCATAAATTAGATCGCCTGAGGTTCAAAAGATCAGAAGTTAGGGAGCCAGGGTTTACAACTGATCTGAGGTGTATGTGTTGAATAAGTTTGATTATCTAGGGTTTTCTCGGTGTATAAGGTTTTGGAATTAAGGTTGTGGACTTCTTCTCCACAGAGTTATAGGGCTAATATCTTCTGATGAACAACTGGTTGTAGGTTATTCTGGTCAAGAATTCCAGGGTGTGACCTAGCATATGTTGGGCTTCGAATCATGGCGTCTCTTCATATAAGTATGCTTATCATTTAACTAGGATTAATGACTATGACATGACATTCATCTACTCTTCAGTTAATCAATTTAGGTTTTGTCGAATCATGGTTCAAAGATGTTTCATCCGGATATTTCTTTGTGCATCTAAACGGAGGAACCAAGATTGTGAGGTGTGATTAATAGGATTTCTTTCTCTTTAAGATATAATTGTTTTTATCCATTTTTAGCAAGTATTGGGGTTTTCATTTGCGCGACTAGGGTTTCACGTCAAGGGAATTCTTCTGTGATTCAGACTGTATCATCCATCTGTAAGATGTTCCTCATGACGTTAATTTCGAGTTGAGATAACTAGTCATTAAGGGCTGAGAGTTGAATTGTGAAATATGGTTTACAGCATAAGATATGAATTTGTGGACTTATTCTCGATCAAGGCGATTATCGTTCTTATCATTGTTATTTGTTGTCCATAATACGAGTGGATTTGAATAGATGTAGGCTTCTTATTGAAGGATTCATGCAAAGTGACTCAGGGTTTATTCATGATTTGATTCAGGATTTTTATTCAAGTACTCAACACAAGTTCAATTCATTCATCTTGTATCACGATTCCTTTTATATGATAAGTCAAAGAAATCTCAGAATTTAAATGCTAAGGGGAAGGAAATATTCATTCAAAACCTATCCGATTTTTACTGTATTAAATCAAGAAATCCAAAAATTCCATTCAATTTCACCATTCAAAAATCAAGATCATACGAATGTTCATGTTTGCCAAGGTTTGGATTTCAAGTGCAAGTTGAAATAGAAAGGCACTTTGGATGTTTAAGAGCTTGTCATTGAATATAAAGATTTATAGGTTTACGAAGAGCGAGTTTGAGAGGAAGAATGAATCATAATGGAAAATAAGCCTGGAATTCAAGTCGATTTGAAAAATAAGTCGTTACACTTCCAAGAGTCGCATTTCATTACATGGTCAAAATACCAATCACATTGCAAGTTACATTCCCATACGCAATTACATCATCTAACAAAAACCTACATCAAGTCAGTAAGCTGCAATAAGCCTATTCTATATGCCAGCCCTGGTCTTCCTCATATAATTTTTGCATCACCATCATTCAATTGATTTCAATTGCCGAGTTATGAACAAAGTCCTTCAAAATCTGCATCAACATGGAAACTGTCTGTCATATCCGCGTATATAAGAAAAACAAGCAGGAATGCTCGAGTATGCAGGACGAACCGGACAAAAACTATCATTGCGTCGGTGTCTCATACAAAGCCGACCTGACCTGCATCCATCAGTGACCGAAATAACAGATAAAATAAATCAGAAAAGCAAAGGAACGATATCGGTTCATAAAACAGAAATGGGAAGGGATCATAAACAACAAATATATATATTTTGACATTCATTAGCAGCTTTGTTAAGAACAGAAATATTTTCTATCAATCTATACTAACTTTTATCAAACTAACTGTGTATAACTGCAACTAACAGTTTTTTTAGCATTAAACCTATGATACCAAGCATTTTCCAAGAAAATCTCCACAAACTTTTAACATAATCACCTAATAGAATATTAACTATCCTAACTTCTCTAACTAACCTTTTCACCCTATCCCACTATCTCCTAACTGTTTTTTACAGTTTCCAATTTCTATACTTCCCAGAAGCTAACTTCTAAAAAAAAAACCAGAAACTAACAAACCCCCAACTGTCATAACAGATTTGAAAATTCCAGCCAACTCTTTACTTCCTAACCTCTTAACCAACTCCTAACAAACTAACCTAACTAACTTTTCTTAGCCTATAATTGAATGCTAACCGAAAATAACTAAGGGGTACAACTCATCATAACAGAATTTTGAAGCTGATAACTAACTCAACATCCAATGGCCAAGACGGTTTCAATCTGTAACCGACTTCTCTCCATTCAGAAGTAGCTATATAACAGAAGAAGAGGGGAGAATTAAGGGATTCATGATTGAACAAACCAGAAAAGTAAAAAAAATCAGATATAGAGAAACTCACCAAAAACCTATTCAATTCACTCCCTCTGCATAATATCCAAAAAATCCTTCATCATCTTCAACCTCTTTCATTCTTCTTCAATCATTTTTTCAGAACAATCACCACAAAAATTTCCTTTCTCTCTCTCGGAAACATCCACCTTCATCTTCAATCTTCAAAAAGGACTTCACTTCATCTTGATTTTCTTATCAATATTCAAGTACACAACATCATTTTCCGCAACCACAACTGCTTGATTATTCATCATCACCATTGATATCTTTATCAACTTGTTAATCAACCTTCAACAAAAACAAATCTTGAAGGCATTATCATCTTCAATTCTCATTATTCAAGCATCTTCGACAACTAAGTCTGCAGCAAGAAACCGTCACACCTATAATACCAAGACTTCGTATTCTCTGCATCAGAATCAACAACAACGTTGGTACACAGGAACCATAAAGAGAAGAAACTCATGGGAAGAAGGATATACAATTCACAGAGAAGAAAACAAGAGAAAACTCACCAGAATACGATTCTTGAGGAGTCACTTCAACTTCTATCATTTGATCTTCATCGCAACCTCCAATATTCAATCCTCCGGGCTTCTCTCTCTACACGGCTTTAACCACCATCAACAATCTTCATCAATTCAGAGCCACCTGCAATCACCCTTATCATTTGTCATCTTAATCAAAAAAGCTTGTACGTACAACAACACACATACCCGAAGATAAGAAGAAAAAAAGGAGAATCAAATCGATTGAAAATAAGAAGAGAATCAGAAGAGATTACCTGGTTTTCTCGACCATTCTGTCGAGGTTTTCCTTTCAATTTCATAGTTGTTTGAATCTGGTTCAGAGAAGATGAGAATAACGAACATCTTGAACGTTCATGGCGGTGTTGTGGATGTCTTGATCGAAGAAGAAGATAGCAAAGAGATGAGAGACAGAGGCATGGCGGCTTCCGGAATGGTCACGACGGCGGTTGATTAAGAGCTAATCGAAGGAGAAGGCTAGGGATTCGACCACCGCGACTGAAGAAGAAGATGCTCTGAGCTGAACTAAACCTTATATCGTTCTTTTTCCATAATTTCATTTATTTGTTTATTTTTTCTTTTTTATTAATCGATTTTATAACATGATTGTTGATAATTGGATCAAGGGTGGATCGGGCCGTTGACTCCTCTTGTCCCATCCTATATTTTTCTTTGACATATAAGCATAACAAAAAACTCATGGATTTAATCAGTTGGGCCTTAGCTCCACTTTCTGAGCTCACCATCTAATTCAGACCTTGCACCCCTTGGCTCTCTTAGTCTTCTTTTCATCACCTTTTAGTTTTTACTTTCCTTTCCATAATTGTGTAATAGAAATACATGACAATACAATAAAAAAATGTTAATATAACTCTTTGGAATTTATTTTTAGAGTTTTGATTAGAGTTTTATTATCATTTTTATGTTTGCTAATTATTTTGTTTCCATTGTTGTTGAGAGTTTATGACAATATTGAGGCAAATTTTATGTGATATGGGTGCTTGGAGATTAATTCATTTTATCAACTTGTGTGAAGCGACTTCTGTAGAGTTTTCTTATTACTTGCATGGTTTTGAAGAGGTAATGAACCTTCTCCATTAGTTAAGATTTTGTGATAGAATATTGATGCAACTTTCGCAATGGGAAATGTTTGGAGATTAATTTTCGATCATTCGTGCGGAGCAGCTTCTATAGAGCTTTCTTAATCGCTTGTGTGGTTTTGAAGAGGCAATGGACCTTCTCCGTTCGGTATCTTCACAATCTCATTTTATTCCTCATTTTCGCACCTTATTGCTTTCTAGAGATCATGTGAAGTATGATAACACTAGGTTTAGAAATAGGCTAGTCTCCCTTTGACTTTTCTTTCCACTTTTGCATATGCATTTAAAACTAAAACTTCTTTTGCTTACAAACCTCAAAATACTCAAAAATTTACTGACGAGAATCATATATTTGTTAAGTTTTAAAGATGATAAGCGGGTTTCTTCTCGACCTTATTGTTCTCTTATTCTAAGCTTTTATGTGGTTCAAGTCTCAGACTCATTTCATAAGTAAGTAGAGAAATGGCTAAAATCTCTCTCTTGAGGTCAACTAGCTGTTACCTACAAGCAAAAACACCGAAAAATACAAACTCTTTTGCCTACGGGCCTTCCTTTCAAAAACTTTTATAAAGAATATGTTAATTCACTTCTGTGCTGACACGTAAGTCTCCAAAGGTCGAGTTGCGGCAGAAGGCGAAATTAATAATGTTCAGTAAAAAATGCAAACCAACAAAAACATATGAGCCAAACTACGGCTGCTCTGATTCCTTAAAAGGGATATGTAGGAATCGGGATAGGGCCCGAACGAGCACAATTTTATTTTCCCTACATTATTTTCCCCTTTCTTTTGGATGCATTCTCCCTTCAGCAATATAGTAAACAGTAAGCATAAATTAAACATACCCATAAGATAGATAACAAGAGTGGATACCGTAGAGTACTACGGGCGTGTGGGGTGCTAATACCTTCCCCTCGCGTAACAGACTCCATTACGCAATCTCTCGGTCGCAAGACCGTGACTTCTCCCTTCTCAGGTTTTGTCGATGTTTACCTTTCCCTTCCTGTGGGATAAAAAACGTTCGATGGCGACTTCATTGTTTGATGATTTTCAGCCGGTTGTTTCAAATATCGAACAGGGAATTGAGCAAGCAAGAAAGTAAAGTGCGGCGAAATAAACTTCAGATATAAAAGCAGGGTCGAATGTAATTCACATAGTCAGATGATATCCGCAATGCTTCAGAATAGAACTACTTATAGGGCAATATTTTCTACTAAAGAAAAGAACTAATTTAACAGGAATTGTCGCTTTCGTGTAATAAGAACGAGTTTACTCTCTAACTAGACCTTCTTATCGTCACTTATAAAAAGGCGCGCATTGCGTTAAAGTAATAAACCTATTTTTCAGAAACGAAGTACTTGACCAAGTTGAAAAGTATTTTGATCTGGAATTTCTAATAAAAAGGGGACCTAACTTTAATCCTATAAACGCGTCCGAAAATAGTTTCAAAATTGATTTCTTTGATAATAAAAATCCCTAACTAACCGGACAAAGCGCTTTCGCTTCCTTTGACCAGTTAGAACTAACCGAGTTTAACAAAGGGTTGGACGACTTTCAATCTTACCCAACAACAATAAAGTACAGAAAAATCGTATTAAAAACCAAAATAGCCCATAAGCATTTCTATTGACACATTATTTGGAATATCGATCAAACTAGATTCCTTACATTCTAGCCCAGTAATGTTTAGCCTGACATGGGAATGTAAACAGACATATTAAAATAAATCATGCGAGAAAGTAAATAATTTAAAGTGTGGTGCGGGAAATAAACAAAGCAAAAGTAGTGCAGAAAATAAACAAAGTAAAAGCGGGTGCGGGAAATAAACAAAGTAAAAGAAGTTTGGAAAATAAACAAAGTAAAAGAAGGTGCGGAAAATAAACAAAGTAAAATCAGGTGCGGGAAATAAACAAAGTAAAAGCAGGTGCGGGAAATAAACAAAGTAAAAGAAGGTGCGGGAAATATAAATAGAAACCTACTCCAAACAGGGAGGTTTTAAATCTGGTACAAACTGGAAGTAAAATGCGACTGGAAATAAAAAATAGTTGAAAATAAATGTGGCAGGATAAACTTATGTCGAAGTGCTCCAAACTCGATTACAAACTCAATCTACGAACTCGATCACAAACTCAATCTACAGTGCAATAATTCACCGATGTGAAGAATTATCGCTTTACAATGTTGAAATTATATGGCTTAAGTTCGGAATTATGGTTGGATCAAGTTTGCAACTAAGCTTGGGTGAATTGAAATGAATTCAGGAACTTCTATTTATAGAGGATGAAGAATGCAGGAAATCACAAGAATTCCCCCTAACTCCTTTTGGGTTGGAAAACATCGTCCAAAGGTGGCACCCGCCATGGAGGCCATGGCGCCCGCCATGAGTTTAAATGAAAGGAAGTGGGGAACATGGCAGTTGAGGTCAGCAGGAGGTGGTCCACATCATGGCCTACCCTATGGTTGGCGCCATGGTGGACGCCATGAGTGCAAATTTGACCTAAACTCCTGTTTTTCAGCCTGTTTTCCTTCATTTTTTCACGAGAGCTCTGGATAATTGAAATACCTGAAAAGGAAACAAAAGATAGTAATAATACGAGAAAACAATAATAAAAAACCTAAATAACATGTGAAATCGGAGTGAAAAACAAGTGTAAAGTAAGTGTTATCAACGGTACAGATCAGTTCAATCAACTTCTTCCGACAGCAGGGGATGAGATGCTCGAAGACATCAGGGAAATAGTAGAGTTGGAACCCGACAAGATTATTTTCACATAGCTATATCTTTTCACGTTGTAATATTTCTTCATTTTCACGACGATTTTCTCTTACTAGGATATTTGTCTCTTTGTACAAAATCGCCTGTTTATAGGATAAGTATCAATACAAATACCATTTTAAAGATCAAATGTTTGTTTTTACTTTTTCTGTTTTGTTTGCAAAAATGTACAATGACTAAGTTGAATGAACATATGCATATTAATATGATTACTATTAACAAATATATGCATAAAAACAAGAATAAGCATTTGCTCAAGACTATAGGAGGTGGGATAATGATAAAGTCACCCACATATCCTCACAAAATTATCCCCACAGAGTCATATTCACAAGCTCATTTTAAATAAAGATACATTCCCTGCAAATTAGAATGCACTAATCATACTCACTAGCAGGTCACTATAGCGGATAAAGGAGTATGATCTATTCCCCGACAAAGTCACCAACCTACGGTATATCAATCTCCATCAGAGATTATGGCATCAGCATGGTTCATGGGAATTCTCTTCCCTAGCATAGATTATTCCTCTGAAACAGTAAAATCCCCCAAAGAGTTCTTCCCTTCAGCAAGAGCTCATTTCCTCAGCAATAGTATTCCTTAGCAAAGTGTTTCTCCAGCAAGTTTAGGGTCTATTTCCCCAACAGGGTTTATTTCCCCAACAAGGTTTATTTCCCTAACAAGGTTTATTTCCCCAATGGAAAACACTCTCCCCAGCTTGAGTCCGTCTTTCTAACTACTACAGATCATCGACAAAACTTCTTTCTCCAGCAAAAGGGAAGTCCAAACCACTATCCCCAGAGAGTCGCTACTAAATCTAAAATGGACCAGATATCATTCAAACTTATCCTCTCCAGACAAGTAGGCGTCCATATCAGAAACTCGATCAGACAACACCTCGGAAGGTTCTCCATCTCTTTTATCCCTAGTCAAGATATATAAGAATTAAATTCCCCAGTAGAGCGATGAACAACCAATGTTCCTGAACTCTTCCCCCTAAGCAGAAATCAATGTTCCCCAGCGGAGTTTCCTCAAACAGAGAGAAATAACCCCCAGCGGCAACATTCCAGACGAGATTGAAGATACACATATTCTTCGTCCCCAACATCATTCAGGGATTTATTTTTCCCCAGTGAGATGTTATACGAAGCTACTATGTTCAAATGACATTCCACATTCATACATAATTTACAAATATCATAGCATACACATGTGAAACACATATGGCACACTCTCATTTATTTTGAGAACGTTATTACCCAGAGCATATTATACATAATGACATTACATACAACTAACTCTTTACCTTTTCACGTAAGCTCAACCAAGTGATGAATATCATCAACTTCCTACATGACCAGGCTACATTTGACAAATATTTTCTTAAGAAATTATTCTGGTTCAGATAAAATCAAGCGGAGATTTTAT